CTCTTTAAACATTCAGGGCTGCAGGGCTTACACCTGTACCTCAGTACAGACAGGCTGAGTACAGCTGAGAGCAGAGTGAGGCATTAGTCGACAGAACAAAACCCAGAAGCAGCCTTATCTCTAGAGCGTCTCAAGTCTCCCACAGGTGCTTTCCAGAGAGCAAGGCCTTTCTTTGGACACTGCAGACTCGTTAGGCTGCAGTACACACTAGGCGCTGCCTTCCTACCCACTCCCTTATTCCTTCCTAAGACTTACTTCTGTGACTTGGGGCCCTGTTGTCTCCTGAGTCTAGTGCCATCGCTAGATGGCCTCTTTGTACCCTCCCAGGATGCTCTGCAGCTGGGAAGAAGCCTAACCTGGGGCCCCACACAGAAACACCAGTGTGACAGATGTTCGCTTGCTCATTTGCTTGGAGCAGCCTGGCTAGGCTTAGAAAAAGAAAGGAAAACACTCCTTTCAGGCACAGCTCTGGAGGGTGGGGAATCCCAAGGGGTTGCCAAGTCCGTCAGCCTAGAGGAGGTGTCTGGTATTCTGTACGTTTGTCTCTTCATACCCAAGGTTGTCCATCAATGACATCATTCTTAGAAGATGCTTCTAGAGCTTGCAAGATGCTTCAGTAAGTAAAGGCACGTTGCTGTCAAGCCTGGCAATCTGGAACCCATTCCAGGAACCCATATGGTAGGAGGAAACCAACTCTCCAAAGTCCTCTGGTTCCCACACACCTGTACAATGGCAGGCAGGCAGCACACGTGTGTACATGCACATATGTGTGCACACACATATTATTTAATTAAGAGATGACTCTAAGCCAGGCAGTGGTGGCCCACACACCTTTAATCCCAGTGCTCGAGAGGCAGAGACAGATGGGATCTTTGTGAGTTTGAGTCCAGGCACGAGTTCCAAGACAGCCTCCAAAGCTACAGAGAAGCCCTGTCTCGAAAAACCAAACCAAACCAAAAAAAAAAAAAAAAAAAAAAAAAAAAAAAAGATGCTTCTAACCATTCTCACAAGCTGAAAACCTACAGGCATCTCCTCTGTGCTCAAAGAAGTCACCAGTCCTCCTAGCCTATGCTTTGTGGCTGTAAAGAGACTCCATGAACACGGCAACCCTTATAAAATAAAGCATTTAACTGGGACTGGTTTACAGTTCAGAGGTTGAGTCCATTACCATCGTAGTGGGAAGCATGGCTGCATGCAGGCAGACAGTGCTGGAGAGACAGCTGAGAGTCCTACATCCGAAACAGCAGGCAGCAGGAAGAGAGAGACCACCAAGCCTGGCTTGAGCATTTGAAAGCCCAAAGCCCACCCCCCCAGTGACACACTTCCTCCACCAAGGCCACACCTACCTCAACAAGGCCACACCTCCTAATAGTGCCATTCCCTGGTGACCAAGAATTCACATCTATGAGCCTATGGGGGCCATTCTTATTCAAAACACCACACCAGTCTTCTCAAGGCTTCGGTGGACCCTGCCCTACAGTGAACCCCGAGACTAGGAGGACGTTGTTATAACCAGACTCGCCTCACAGGAGCTGTGTTTGGTGCTTGGACGGGGCAGTGACTCTGACCAGGCCTGGCACTGAAGACAGGCAAACAGAGGTTCATTTCTTCAAAGTCGATTCACTCCTTCAACTTGCTAGCATTTTTCTTTAAAAGTACAAGGCTGTGACCCAGCATTCAGGCCACATTGTCCAGCTGCTTAGTGCTTCTCCTTCATTTCAGCACTGGCCTCTAGCTGGCCGCACCACTCCCTGCCCCAGATTCCCAGGGAGGCTGAGAGGGTTCACTGATGAGGATACACCCAGTGACATCCCCAGGCTCAGTCACCATGCCCTCACCACAGTTCACCGTCAGCACATGCAGCTCTATTAGGGAGGACACCAGCACAAGTCAACTCGCCCCTGCACAGCTGAGGGGTCCACATCTGTGGCGGGAAGGAAAGCTGTGGATTTTATGGTGCCTTCCCAGCACCCTCTTGCCACACCTCTGACAAGGCCTTGGCATTGGACATGGTGGCTCCTGGCTTCCTTTTGGAATCCAGGCTTACTAAGAATGGGTTCAGGGCTTGCTCCCAAGTGCCAGAGAGCTCGGGAAGGCAGTGAAACAAACCCCTTTTCTAGGTCACTTGGTGAGTGTTCACCTCCTGACTCATGGGTAGACTTGGCACAGCAGGAAAGACACATGCTATCACCCTGTCCCAGAGTCTGAGGTGATAGTAATGGTTATGGAGTGTTTCTGGGAGGGCTACAGAAAACTGCAGGGTGTGTGTGGCCTGGACACTGCCCTGGGGGGAATGAGGGCAGCCAAGGACAGCTGCTGGGACAGTCTGGTGTTGGGACACTCTTCATTCTAGATTCATGGACTCCTCTGGTCCTTCTGCTGGCTCTTGGGCCAGGACCTGCCTGCCTTTTTGGGAAGCGCCTTCTTCTCCCAGATGCATCTCAACAGCCTCTCCTAAGGAATCGCTCTGTGTTGGTTACTTTTCCCATCACACTGATGGGAGCAACCTAGGAGAAGAGGCGTGGCTCCCGCACCTGTTTTCAGGTGGTTTAGTCCATCCTGACAGGACAGGTGTGGTGATGGGGATGCCTCAGTCTAGCGGTAGAAGCAGGAAGCAACACGTCAGGAGCTGGAGACCAGAATCTCAGGAGGCCAGGCTCTATGACCTATGTCTGTCCCCTATGCTCCACATCCCCAAAGTTCCAGAGCCTCCCAAAGCAGTGCCACCTGCTGGGGATCAGGTGCTCAAACGTGGGAGCCTGTTACTGGGCAGGGCTTCAAACCTAAACCATACACCCTTCCTGACCTCCTCCTACCAGACACTCTCCTCAGGAGCCCTGCCAGGACCCCATGAAGGCAGACAGATAGTGACCCAACCCAGCCAAGAAAGAGAACAAAGATGCTGACCTTTGTGACTGCCCAGAGGTAAGCTGAACCCACCCTGGCTGCCACATTCGGTCCTGACCTCCCTGCCCATCTTCTCCTGGCTCCCAAACATGTAGCACTCAGTGCACATTCTGAATCTGATTTGTAGACAAAGACACTTCTTCATAAGGCTGAGCGCCCGATGTTTGTTCTTCTTATTGGAATCCCGGTGAGCCAAGGGGCTCTTGCTGATCGTGCGCTTATTAAAAAGAAATGCATGGAAGGAGTAATTGCCTGTTCTATGGTGAGAAATTACTGTCTCTGTTTTATTTAGGCTGTATAGGAAACAAGAAACAGCACATAATTTAGTGATTAAAACTTTGCATCTCTCGTTTCATATAATTGCATGCTTTTGTTCAAGGCTACTATTTTGATTAAAAAATTCATTCTGACCCCTTTCAGGGTCCTGGGCAGTAAACAGGTCCCATGTAGGGAGGACTATGTTTTCCAGCAAAGCTGAGAGTAATGTCCCTGTCTTTACCCCCCAGGAATTGTGGGTGGTAGCTGGCAAGGGACTGGTGGGGGGGTGCTGGATTTGGTCAGTAATGGTTAACAAGAGAGGAAACTGGGGTGACTTCTACACATACAAATCCTCAATGGACAGAGACTAATGAAGTGGCTGGCATGCCCACGGAGGGGCCTATGATCAGAAGCTTGTCCTAGGCTCGCCCTGGGCCATCAGTTGCCCTCAGCCTGGAGTGTGAACAGTGGTCAGCAACCGTCTTTTATGGTGCCAGCCTGGGCTGCTCCATTTGTAGTCCAGGACTCCTGCTGTGGCAGAAGGTCCTAGAATACCACCTTACCCCATATCCTGGGCCTGAGGTTCCATGCAGCCCCTCCCGGCCTCCTCAAACAGGGTGAAACTTTGTGGGGTCCCACCACTCAGCAGAAGCGCCTCATTTCTCGTAGTCGGTCATCTCCAAAGCTAGGGCAGGCTGTTCTCAGCAGAGGAGGTATTGCAAACAAGGAGAGGTGCCAGCCCTCAGGGTCACTGAAACCTGCTGTAAGGTCACTATAAAGGGACAGGGACTCTGAAACAGTAAGCCTCTCGGTGCTCATTTTATATTTTGTGAATTTGTGTATACAAAATTTATTCACATTATTGAATTTCACCAAATATGAAAGTAAATACCAGCTGGACAGTAGTGGCACACGCCTTTATATCCCAGCACTTGGGAGGCAGAGGCAGGTGGATCTCTGAGTTCGAGGCCAGCCTACAGACTCAGTTCCAGGACAGCAAGGGCTGCACAGAGAAACCCTGTCTCAAACGAGGAGGAGGAGGAAGTGGAGGACAAGATGATGATGAAGATAAATAATACCTCAAGACCATTTGAAATCCAATGAACTTTGTCCCCCTGTGTTCTGTGGGGTCCCCTTCCCCCTACATCTGTCACTGGAAGTCATGGAAGCATGTAGGTGAAGACATCACCATGTCCTTTCTGATCACCCAGCCTTTCTGTCCTATCTACACGACAATCCGCCTCCAGTAAAGTCATTGCAGCTGAAGACTAGAAATGTGTTCCAAGTCCCACATTGAGAAATCACTGCTCTGACTGCCCACCTGGCCTCACCTGGTCTCAGGAAACAGCCTGTGACTGAAGAGACAGATTGAAGAGCCACCACCAGGCCATCAGTTCACAAGACACATTCCCATTCAGGACACATGGGACACAGAAAGTCAGGGTTACATTTGCTGTTGTCAAAAACCTGCATGGAGGCTGGCTGGCTGGAGAGCCAGCCAAAAAGTCTCTTCCCTGCAGATCCATCTGGGCTGAATGGAGCCAATTAATATCCTGATGGGGCTCAAAAGCTTCAGTGAATGGAGTGAGTCTGACCCAGAACTGCAGATTCTAGGCCATTGTCTCTGGCTTATGACACCAATCCAGAATCTGGGAGAAGTTCCCACTGAGAATCCAGCTTCTGCTCCCCACAGCCTGCCTCTGATTCTTTTCATTTGCCCTGTGTTCTTCTCAACAAGGAGGCTCCCAACCAAGGCTCATTTGGTTTTTCTTCTGTCCAGTGGAGTTATGTTCTGAATATATTCTAAGGAAGATAATATACATATAAAGGAACTCACTGCCTCTTCATCCTGTGGATGATACTTCTCAGTTGAGGGTTAAAATTGAACCAGGATTCCAAAGTGTTTACACATGGCTGAGTTCTCTTGGGGTAGGGTGAGGGTACCCTGTGCTTTGGGAGCACTGGCTTTTTATTCCTCATGTTGACTCAGGCCCATAAGTTGCAGAAAGTGAGCATTTCCCTACAGGGTTCTACTTTTCCCCTGCCAGTATCATTTCAGACACATCGTTTTCTGGAAAACACTGTGGTCCCAGGACCTCATGGCATTACATGTCTTAAGCCAGGCAAGAATTACAAAGTAGACAGCTGGGCACACCTGTGTGCAGGTAGGTGTGCATACTCTGTCCTCTGGGCACACCTATGTGTGCACACATAATCTGTCCTCATTAGTTTTATGTCAACTCGCTACAAACTAGAGTCAATTGGGAAGAGGGACTCTCAAAAGAGAAAATGCCTCCCTAGATCGGCCTATGGGCAAGTCTGTTGAGCATTTTAATGATTGATGAGAAGAGCCCCGCCCACTCTGGGCAGTGCCACCCCTGGAAAGGTGGTCCTGGCTTGTATAAGAAAGCAGGATGAACAGGACGTGAAGAACAAGCCAAGAAACAGTGTTTCTCCATGGCTCCTGCTTCCAGGTTCCTACACTGAGTTCCTGCCTGACTTCCTTCAGTGATGAACTGTGGTGTAGAAGTCTGAACTGACGTAAAACCTATCCTCCTCAAGTTGGTTTTGGTCATGGTGTTTTATCACAATAGAAACTGTTCGAGGTGAGGATATGATAGATGAGTATGACAGCCAATTTATTAAGGGGTGCAATGAAAAGACAAACTTGTAGATACAGAGCAAAGCAGATGTTATTCAACTCTCCGCTGCTTGTCAGGAGTGAGCCAGAGCAAGAGAGCAAGCGTGCACCTCCCCTCCAGCCTATCAACTGTCATGTAGCAGACAAGACCACGCCCTAGAGCTTGCTGCCCCAAGGCTATTGGCAGAATGTGTTCCACAACAACTGTCAGAGTTATTTTTCTATTGCCATTGCCCAGACAAAAACCATGACCGAGGCAATGCATAGAAGTTTGTTAGGTCTTACAGTTTCAGAGGATGAGTCATAACCATCATGTTGGGGGAACACAGCAGCAGACAGGCAGGCATGGTGCTGGTACAGTGGCTTAGAGCTTATATCTGATCCACAACCAGGAGGCATGGGGAAGAGATGACTGGAAATGGTGTAGGCTTTTGAAACTTTAAAGCCTACACCTACAGACACACACTCTTCCTGCAAGGCTACACCTTCTAATCCTTCCCAAACAGTTCCACCAACTGAGGACCACGTATTCAAACATATGAGCCTATGGACCCATTCTCACTCAAGCCACCACAAAAACCCTAAGACACAGCCACAAATAATGCACTCACATGTACATAGCACAGATGTGTATACAACACAGATATGTACTCACACACAGATGTGCAAGCAATGTAGGTGTGTACTACACACCCACAGATGGACAATGTGCACACTAGACATCCTTACACACACCCCATGAACAACTACATCCTCCCCCAGTCTCTCTCAACTCTTGTCCACACTAATCTGTTCTCAAATTCTCTACCTTTCCATTTCAAGAATGTCATGTACAACCTCTTAGAGCTGTCAGTCTTCAGTCATTATATATTTGGAGGTAATTAGGCTTCCCTGTCAGTTATTTCTCATCTATTCATTTCTGCTGTCAGCTAGCCTTACAGATGTAGATGAACTCAGCCTGTTTAATACTTACCTGATAAAGAATGCCCAGGTTAGATACTGTGGCTAAAACATAGTTAGGGAATGCGTTCTTCCCAGATTCATCACTTTTGGGTTTGTTTTGTGACCATTTGGTATAAACAGGACCATCTATGTGACCATTAGATTGGCACCATCCCTTGGGGCCTCAATTCTTTTCTTCTTACTTTTTTCTAGGCTCTTGAAGTGGGAGCATAGATTATTGAGCAAGACATTTCCTCTTTTCTGATGCAAATATCTCAGCACTATAAATTTACTGCTTGTCCTGTTTTAGCTACATCCACAACCAACAAATTTTGGTAAGTTGTATTTTTATTTTCATTCCACTCCTTGTGTTTTACATTATTTTTCCTGAGGCTTCTTCTTTAACTCATGGCTACTTACAAGTATATTATTTGGGTTTTATGTTTATATTCTTTGTACTTTCACCTATTACCTCCCCTTTATTGATTTTTAATTTGATTCCACTGTAGCTGAATAATATATAGACTACATATGAAGAAAATGCACACACACACACACACACACACACACACACACAGTGTGAGTTTTGTCTCTGTAGCTGGCCTGCCCCACCCTCTCCTCTATTCAGATTCCTGTTTTCTTTAGTGTCATGTTCAAGGGTGTGGAGTGGTAGGGGGAGATAGAACAAAAGTGTCCTCCATCATTGCAGGAGCAGAGTTCTCTCTGGTCCGTTTTTAATATCTTTGATGACTGATGCCAAGCCTTGTAAGTGATGCCTTGATTCCCACCCCTCCCCATTTTCTTAGCTCTTGGACAAAATTCTGAGTTTTGCTTTCACTGATGAAGGCTTCTTCTATATGTGACCCTAGAATTTCATCGGGGTGAAAGGAAAGGATTCCTTGTCACCCATCCTGAATAGTAGTCAGAGACACCCCGAGTGGTTCTTTGGAGGTCTTCAGTGGAGATTTAGGAGTCTATATTGGTTAAATCTTGGAGCTATCCTGAAACATACCAGGGTATGGGCCCAGAGCTACCTTTGGAGTGGGCTGCTCACAGACATCTTAGACCAGGGGCTCCTGGACCCACCTGCCTCTACTTTTTAAACCATTTTTACTTCCTTCATCCTGTCTAGAAGTGTCCCTGCGTGTGCAGTAGAGATTGGGGGACACATCTAGGAAGACCAGGTGTAGAGGCAGCCTGTGGACAGGGGCAGCCCAGTCTCCCCACTTCAGCCAGCCCTGAGCCTCACTGGGCCTAGCTCAGTCTTGCCACAGACATCTGCTAGCTGCCTGCTCTGGACTCCTGCCAAACAGCCTGTGTCTTCCCTGCTCGTTTCTCTGTCGACCTGCATCTGGAAAGCTGATGTGTTTTCCTTCCAAATCCCCACTACTTGGCTTCATGAGGCATCTGTCTTAAAAAATGTGCTCTGCCTCTTGGCTTGGCCAGGGTAGGGAGGAGCTGCATTTTGTGTTGGAAACCCCGCACTGACTCTTAGCTGTGATGTTCTTGGCATTTCCTGAGAGACTGCATGCAGTACAGCTCTCTAGAAAGGGGAAATTGTGAGAGTTTTTTTGTTTGTTTTGTTTTCTTTCATTGTGGGGACACTGTTGATCACATGGAAACATCTTCAAGCTGGCCCAGTCACAAGTGGATCTAGGGTGAATGTGTTGTGCCCAGTGAACATCAGGTCAGATTGAGCTTTCTCTTGCGTTTTAGATGCCAGCTTCATGATGCTGCTTGTCTTCCAGAAATAACTGGCATCTCAGCCTTTCTGAAGATGAAGACAGCCATGGCAAGCTCATTAGACCTGAATGCGTTAGCTTTTGCTTTCTGATATGTAAAATCTTAATTCTGTGGGAATTCATTAAGTTTTAAAGTAAAGTTTTGCCTATTAGAGAATAACCCTTAGCCAGGCATGGGGCCCATGTCAAGAGATGAAGCATTGGTGCCTCCAAGTGTTAATTAGTGGGGGAGAGGGGTTACACACATGCAGCGTATGTATGTGTACATGTTTGTGTGTTTGCACAAGTGTATGTGTGTAGGCCGGAGGCTGACACTGGGTGTCCTTCTCAATCTCTCTCCACATTGCTTTTTGAGACAGGGTCTCTCATTGAACCTAGCTAGCCAAGAAAGAATGGAGATCCTTTTGTCTCTGCCTCCTTGACACTGGGATTACAGGCAGCACTGCTACAATTGACCATTATGTGGATGCTGGAGATCAAAATTCAAATCTCATGTTCTGTGATCAGCACTTTCTCCACAGAGCTATCTCCCAGCCTTCTCTCCATAGTTTATTACTAGGTGTGAATATATTTAGATTATTTTCTGTTTGTTGAATAGATCTTTTATTTAATAGTTTAATATAAAGCATCTTTTGTCTCCGGTGGCCCATCTTTGACCTAAAGTGACTTTCTTACAGACAGCGTATAATGAACTCATTTATTTCTATCTATTTTTACCAATCTCTCTCTCCTTTGGTTCTATAGTGAAATCATCTGCATTTAAAGTAACCACTGATAAGCAAGGTCTTCGTTTCCGGTCTTTGGTATTTGTTTTCTGTGTGTCTGACTGCTTTTTCTGTCCTTTATTTCTTTCATGTCCTTTTCCTGAATGAACTTTCTGCTTAGCTTATTCTTCCTTTTATAGTAAAATATTAAACTCTTCTCCTATCTCTCTTTGTTATTCTCTATCTGTTTTCTTTCACTTTCAAAACTGTAACTCAGAGGTAGACACAATTTCAACAGCATTGGCTACCCCTATTCCTTTCAGGTTTAAATTACACAAAATCACATATTTATACAGTGTCCTCACAAACGTCAAGTTATCATTCTTTTAAATAATCAAGCCCTTAACTCATATGAAAAATAAAATGTAGAATCATAAACAACCCAAGCTACAACAAAGCTTTCTCATTGCTGCCCAAGTTTACCTGGCAAAGCTCAGTGTCATTATTTGCTTGCAGATTCCCTCCCGGCATCCTCTCCTGGCCTCATGTGGACTCCCTGAAGAATTTTCCTTCCTGTGGGTCCTGGAGTGACTAACTATCACAGCTCTTGCTTACTGGCAAATATTGTCATTCATCCTTAAGTTTAAGGGAAAGTTTTATTAGTCAGAGGGTTCTTTAAAGGCTGATTTGAATTTTGAATAGCTGCTGGCAGCATCACCGGATCCCCTGTGTGGGAGTAGCATCTCTCCTGCTGCTTGCAAGGTCCTTGCCATCTTTTGAATGTCTTAATTTAACACTCCTGGGTGTGGGTCCCTTGGAGTTCATTTCTCTTGAAATTTGAGTTCCTTGCATGTTTACAATCCTGTCCTTTATCAAATCTGGAAGATTTGAGGCTGTTTTTTCTTTACATATCCTCTTTATCTCTTTCTCCTCTCTTCCTGGGCCTCCCACAATGTGTACAGAGACCTTTTTTTTTTTTTTTTTGGTGATGTCCCACAGGTCCCCTAAGCTGTGTTCTCTCGTCCCTAACCTTTTTTTTTTCTGTTCTTCTGTCTCAGCATCCTATCATCCTGTCCTTGAGCTCTCTTATTTCTTCCCTCTGCTCAGATTTTTGAGTCCCTCTAACGGGTTTTCATTCATCACTTGTTTGCAGCTTTATTTTTTTCAAGTTTATTTTCTTTTTTATAGATAGTTCCTGCATTGAACAGTTTCCCACCACTTTGGAAATACTGGGAAGTCAACTTGAAAGATGAAAGATGGCTTTGGGCTCACATGGTCACTGTCTTCTAATGCTTGTGAGCCTGGGTGAGATCCCATCATGGTGAGGCACACAGTAGGGCAAGGATGATCACCCACCTCTTGACATCCAGAGAGAAGACAGACAGAACCAAAAAAGGGCAGAGACCAAAATACCCCTCGAGAGCATGCCACCCAAAACCATTGCCTGTATTTAAGCCCGTCTCCTCAAGTTTCCACAACTTCCTGATAGCCCACGAAACCCATAAGTCCATTAATGGTTTTTATTTTGTGTATGCTTTTGAGGCAGTCTCATGTAGCCCAGACTGGTCTCAAACTCTCTGTGTCACTAAGGATAACACTGAACTTCTCTTTCTCCTCCTGGGGTTACAGATATGAACCACCACATCCAGTTTTAGGTGAGGATACACCCAGGGCTTCCTGCATGCTAGGCAAACACTGTGAACCGAAATGTGATATACCAAATGATGCTGTAACGATAAACAGCGCACTTACTGAAAGTAAAACTAAGTGTTTATTGTAGAAATTACTCACAAGATACCAAACAAGTAACCCAGATGAGCCGAGTAGTTTTCCACCGCCGAACTGGAAGCCGAAAGCCGGAAAAAGAGACCAAGACTTCCGTAGTTCAATATTTTATACCTTCCTGGCTAGTGACGTAGTTCACCGCCTACATACGTATACGTCTTTACGTCTGTCCGTATACGTCTTTAGTCATGCCTAAAGTGGGTGTGGTTAGCGGTGTGGTAAACCGCTCTTTTATTACCTCATCTGTATGCGCCTCTAATAAGTCACATGGTTAATGGCGGCATTGTTTTCCTCCTACAGAGATGCACTCTGGCCTTGTGATCTCACTATTGGGCTTAATCCACTGGTGCACACAGAGCCCTCATGATCCAATCACTTCCCCAAGCCCCTACCTCTGAGCACTGCTATACTGGGGAGTAGTAGATCCTTAACATATAGCTTTGGAGAGACATTTGAAATCAAACCATAATAGGTCCCATGTTCTTCCACTCTTTCTCTATGCTTTCCTTCAGTTCCCTGGGCATCTTCAAGACTTGTTTCCGAGGCCTTTGGCAAGTTTATCTGCCATCAGTCTATCTCAGAGGCAGCTTCTGTTGGTAATAAATAGTCATACTACACTACATGTTTGCTTGGATTTTGTATATTTGAAATGATATTTAAGTCCCACTTCTGGATATGAGGATCTCCTTTCTACCCTAGGCTTTGCAAGGGTTTTTGTTTTGTTTCTAATTGCTATAGACTGCCCCTACCAAGGTTTTCTGGGTCTTTTCCATCTTTCCTTCAGCATGTTCATCTCTTTCTAATTCCTCCCCAAAATGTCTTGGGTGTTCAGATGCAACCCACAATACACCAAGGTGCTTCAGGGCAGCCTCCTCAGGTTGGATTGTAGCCAATGAACAATAGCAGCTTCAAGATGGGTTGGTGCAAGGTAACAAAGGAGGAAGAAGAGAGACAAGTGTTCTTCTAGGAAATAGGCTTCAATCAATGGTTTCCAAGGCCTTTGTGATCTCAGTATCCTTCCCAGACTCCATGTTAGTATGAAGACTGCTGTATCTACCAAGGTGCCTACAGACAGAGAATGAGGGAACAGGCAAGCTGGGTTCC